AGGGCAAATACCAACTTAAAAAGTTATAGATCTTTGACTTAGCAATTTCATTCTTGGAATTTTTTTTTGCTATAGAAGCCTTACATGATACATGTAAAGGCTGTCCATGGCTGCACTTTGTAATAGCAAAAGGCTGGAGATAATCCAAAGTCCATCAAAAGTGATTGGTTAAATAACATTGCACACTGTAGTTGTGAAAAAGAGTAGAGAAGCTCTTCACGAACTTGATATAGGAATATCTCTAAGATATATTAAATTTAAAAAATGGGATATAGAATGATGTGCATGCATAAAAAAAGCTAAATTTTGTGTTACAGGGAGGGAACAATCTATATTTGTGTTGACCTGTATGTATATAAGACATTTAAAGGAAACTAAGAATTTTTTTTTCCTAGAGATGGAGTAAGCAACTGGAAGAATATTTACCAAAATGTTACAGCCTTTTATAAATGATGGGTATATTGGGGTTATACCAATAAGAGCAGTTTCTTAAGAGCTTGTAAAAGTAAAAATCCTTTGAATAGCATTTAATTTTAAGTTAAAAATATGAAGCATATATTCTAGAAAAAGTGGATGAACAAAATTACCTGGTATTATGAATGATTTTTAAGCAAACACTCATGCTACTACCATCGAGCTCAAGAAAAATAATGGTGCCCGCTCCTCCAAAGCAACTCTCAGTGCCTCTTCTCGATCATACACCTTTCCCTTCCCATGAGAGATAATCACGTCTTTACTTTCATGGTGACTACTACTTTGTTTGCACTTAGAGTTTTGCCACCTATTGATGTGCTCCTAAAGATGTATTTTCATTTTATTTTAAAACTTTTTGTCGGGATCCCTGGGTGGCACACCAGTTTAGCGCCTGCCTTTGGCCCAGGGCGCGATCCTGGAGACCTGGGATCGAATCCCACGTCGGGCTCCCGGTGCATGGAGCCTGCTTCTCCCTCTGCCTATGTCTCTGCCTCTCTCTCTCTCTCTCTCTCTCTCTGTGTGTGTGTGACTATCATAAATAAATAAAAAAAAATTAAAAAAAAAACTTTTTGTCACTGAGGAAGGCACTTGTGATGAGCACTGGGTGCTATACTATATGTTGGCAAATCGAACTTCAATAAAAACAAATAAAAAAATAAAACTTTTTGTAAGAGACATCCATGTTACATGGAGCTACATTTTGTGCATTGTATTAATTACATAGTATTCTGTTACCTGCTTGTGTCACAGTTTTGTACCCATCCTACCGATGATGGATATTTGGAATATCTCCAGTTTGGGGTATTAAGAACAATGCTGATATGATCCATATGGATTTGGGTGCATACATGCATGAATTTTTCTAGGGCAATTACCCTAGAGCGCAACTGTGGGATTATAGTGTATGGATAGCTTCTGCTTTTCTGGATACTACAAAATGTTTTCCCGTATGGTTTTATCTATGTATACTTCTAGCAGTCTACAAAGGTTCTAATTGTTTCCTAGTTTCACCAAAGGTTCTTAATACTTAGTTGAGTCAGACTTCTTAACATTTGCTAGTCTTACGGGTGTGCAGTAAGATGTCCTTATGGTTTTAATTTGTATTTCATTGGTGACGAATGAAGTTTTGTGCCTCCTCACATATTAATTGGTCATTTGGACATTTCCTTTTGTGAAGTGCATGTTCAAAACTTTTGCCTACTCTTTTATTGGATTGCCTTTCTTTAATAGTGCTTAATTTAATCTATGTATTAATAAAGAGTTTGAATGATGAATGATCAGGGCTGGAGGTTCACCATGCAGACAGAAGGCAAAAGCAGCAATCTAAGATTTTTCACAAAACCTTTTTATGTAATTAGCTGGCACAAATTATTCATCAGGCAAATTGTGCCTACGCATCTGCCCACCACAGTCTGCTGCCAGTCATCTACCCATGCATCCAGATCAATGAATGGTGCTGATGGCAGTAGTTAACATTCACCAAACTCTTCCCATGTGCCTGGTACTGGGCTAAGCATGTGCCTTATTTACGTCTCTCAATACCTCTATGTGTAATGTTCCATTCAGCTTCAATAACTTGACCATGATGACTCAACTAGAGAGTGATGTGGCTGGGAGTTGTCCCTCATTTAACTCCAGAGGCTGTGTTCTTATCCTAATTATCATACTGCCTTAAACAAAGTTTCCTTCTGGTTTCAGATTTGGGATTATTGTGTGCTGTGGAAATGGCAATCAGTTCTAGCAGAAGAGAATATAATGAAGTACTTAACATAGAGCTTGTAAAACTTAAATTCCCTAAAATATACCATAATGCATTATGAAGGATATTGACAATAAGAAAATAGGCTTACATAAAGCTTACTACACACTTATGTTTGCTTCACAGCCTGTACGTGGATGGCAAATATGGATTCTTTCAGCTTACTACTGCATCTCTAAACATTTCACACATCTTAAGTAGCTAAATCATATGCTCTTCTCCAGAATCATTTTTTTAAGGTTAAAATCATGAAATAAACACATGGCATTGTCTTTCTCTGATTGACTTATTTCGCTTAGTATTATACTCTTTAGCTCCATCCATGTTGTGCAAATGGCAAGATTTCCTTCTTTTTTTATGGACAAATAATATCCCTGTGTGTGTGTGTGTGTGTGCGTGTGTGTGTGTATTTCACATCTTCTTTACCATTCATTTTCACTCATGTGGAATTTAAGAAATGAAACAAATGAACAAAGAGAAAAAAGAGAGAGACAAACCAAGGAACAGACTCTTAACTATAGCAAACAAACTGATGGCCACCAGAGGAGAAGGAGTGGGAGGGTGGGTGAAATAGATGAACACTTAGCATAGTGAGCACTGAGTAATGAACAGAATTGTTGAGTCACTATATTGTATACCTGAAACTAATATAAAACTGTATGTTAACTATACTGGAATTAAACAATAAACATTAAAAAATTTTAAAAATAAACATAAAAAGAAAGAGAGGGAGTGAAGAAAAATGATGAAATGAATAATGATGGCAAATATAACCATGCATCCAGTACAGCTACCTTAAATCCTCATAGCAAGGAAATAAGACAATCTGGCACACCGTATTGAGTCTCAAAGGGCTTTGCAGTCATTAACAAGCGTAAGACAGCAAAATGTTCAAGAGTAAAACTTTAAAAACTACTATTTCTTGAGCAAGACTACAGAGGTCTGTGGAAAAATAAACCCTTTTTTTTCCATGTTAAACTTTAAATTTGTTGGAAGATAAACGAACTCTATTTTGAAATAAAACTTTTCAAACTTGGAAAAGATCATGAAAATCAAGAGCTGAGCTACAGTTGAAGACAGTTTCTAAGCAGTTTATATAATGGGTTTTAGTTCAGAGGGCTTTCATTTTTCCCTTTTGAGGGAACTTTCTGGCTCAAACATGTTCACAGGCCCCGTACAGCTTGCAAAACTATGTTTTTTCTCCCGCTGAGACCCCGCTCAGGCTTGTACTTTTATTTGGAAAAATAATTTTCAATGCCTTCTTCTAGGCTGAGCATTAATCCCCCCACTGCTTGATCGATTAAATCCCACTGCCTGTGTCTGGAAGGCAAAGTCTGGGCTTTATGTATTGCTTTCTGGCAAGCCACATTTCCATGCTCCACGGAACAGGTGCAGCAGTATAACTCTCTGCAGCAGGCTTTCGGACCCTCAGATCTTGGGGTCCAAGAGGTAGTATCTCTTGTTACCATCTAATGAGTTTAAAGGCCTGTGAGGATTCTACTTCTGTCGATGGATGTGGTTCGATAACAATATCTTACCTTTGGTATGGCATTTAATAGCTTACAAGGTGAGACTACATGATCTCGTTTGCACATCACAGCAGTTGTTTATGGGAAGCAGTGCTTTATCGCCTTCAATTTTAACAATGAGGGGGTACTGTGATCCTTGCCCAGAGTCACGTAACTAGTAATGGCAATCTTGTTATTAAAACATAGGTCATCTGATTATTGACATACCAGTGTTCTTTTATGATTCACAAAATAAACCCAAGATTTGAGATTTAATAGAGAACTTTCAAAAGGACCCACATCATCAATGTGCTCTGAATCTAGAAAACTAATGGTAATATAAATGTCACATTGCCACTTACCTGAGCGGAACAGAGCAAAGAATGAGCTCTTTCAGTGTTACCTCTAGGAGAAGTCCTGGAGAAAATTGTCAGGATTTCTTTGAAAAACCTTAAATGTGATCAATCAAGCCCCCAAAGATAAGCAGGCCTGCTTGGTAGGGAAACTTGTAATTCATAAAGTCTCATTGTCCTGGCCTTGCCTTCCTACACTTTTTGAATGTGTATCTTGTTTCTTCACCTAGAAAACCCTATAAGATAGGTGCTGTGGCTTGATTTTCCCCAGACGCACATCCTGAGATAAAGATTCAAGTACAAGTGACTTAGAAGGAGAAAGAAACACAGGTAGGGAGGAGGGCAGCAGTACAGGGAGGGGTGTGTCATTGAGCCAACTGCCACTGGGGTGACTGGAGCTTCACCCCAAGACAAAACCTTGGACACAGTGTAAGTTACACACCTCAGAGACACCCCACCTGGAGGTATGGGAGCTGGGTGTTCATACAGCGACTCCTATCAGTTGTTGAGAGCTGCAGGGAGCAGAGGATAACTTCCCCACCTTCTGGTACACTGAACACAAGGGCAGAGCAGCATTCTATTGGTGAGGATCAAGCTCCCAGGAAAAGCAATGCAGACAGTGGCAGGGCAGAGTCACTAGTAACTGGCAGGAGGATAACGAAGAACATTGGAATGGTAAGCTACCATAGGATCAAGGTCTTACATTTTTCTAATTTTCATTTGAAGTCCAGAGTGGTATTTGAGACATAATAGTCCCTTGATAATTATGAACACATCAACCTGACATCAGAGTGGTTATGAGAAATGCTTATGGATAGACACTGAATCCTAGGCAACAGAAGACCATGGAAAGAAAGAGGAAACAAGAAAAGACAAAGGAGGCATCAGGGAGTCATCCCTACTCACACTTTCTCATAAATCTTGTTGGGATGCTCTGGCCATTCAATCATGCACACCACTCTGTTGGGCATGGTCTCTGTGGTTGAGTAGTAGCCCTGGGGGAAGGCCAGTAGAAGGGCCAGGACCCAGATGACACAGATGACCACCTTGGTGGCCGTGGCTGACAGCCGGGGCTGGAGGGGGTGGATGATGGCCATGTACCTGGAACAGAGAAGAAAGGACAAATTTCTGATTTGGTCACCAAAATTTGTACTGGCAATTAGCATTGTTCCTACAAATGAAGAATTCCAGGGAAATCTTTGACTTCTGATGATTGTTTCTTTTATTGAAAATCTTATTAAAATTCAATTAATTAACATAGTGTATCATTAGTTTCAGACGTGGAGTTCAGTTATTCATCAGTTGCATATAATACCCAGTGCTCATCATATCAAGTGCCCTTCTTAATGCCCATCACCCAGTTACCCTATCCCCCACAACCACTTCCCCTCCAGCCACCCTCTGTCTCCTATAATTAAGAGTCTCTTATGGTTTCTCTTCCTCTCCAATTTCATCTTATTTTATTTTTCCCTCCCTTCCACTATGATCCTGCTTGGTAGGGAAACTTGTAATTCATAAAGTCTCATTGTCTGGCCTTGCCTTCTTACACTTTTTGAATGTGTGAAACCATATGATAATTCTTTCTCTGATTGATTTATTTCACTTAGCATAAAAGTCTCCATTCTATCCATGTTGTTGCACATCTTCTTTATCCATATACAACTATGTTCTGATCCTTTTTGCATACCTTATCCTCAAATTTGATGACTCTTATGACATAAAACCCTAAGATCCATAAGAAAAGACAACCAGGTTTTTAAATATTTTAGAACCCATCTAACAACATGCTAGGAGTGAAGTTTTCATCAATAGAATGCTCATGCTGGGGACATGATAGCCAAGTATAGATCAGTGGCATACAGAAGAACTGGAAGGGCAAGAACAATGTTGTAAATTTATTCAATGTAAAGACTATCTTTATCCTTTTTGGATTAAGGAATAATGTTGATAGAAGTAGTGGTTTTTAAAGTCCTTATGTGGCAATTTAAAAAGCCGGGAATTGTATATCGTCTCTACAATGTGAGGGGAAATGAACGTGTGTGTGAGAAAGGAGTTAGCCTAACAGCAAATTGTCAGCTCTTGGCAAAATCTTCATCAGTTCTTTGAACATCTAGAAGTCAGTGTATGGCTAATAATGCATGTCTCATGAGGAGAAACACAGTCTCCACTTTTTGAGACAGATACACTTGGGTATATTAAAGTCCCAGGGTGGATGAAACCTCATTTGCAGGAAGAGGTAAGTAAAGTGAATGATGACTCAGGACTTGGAGCCACTCCTCCATGTCCTCTCACCTGGGATGGGGCACTGCATAAGTGTGTCCACACATTTGAATTTGTGCTGCCTCTGAAATGTAGCAGAGACCTTAGGAATAATAAACATTCCAATCAGCATTTCATATCAGTTATAATCACATCAATTCTGCATCCTCCATTTTAAAAGACATTTTGCTTTGTGTATTTTTCTTGCAAAGTTCACAGGTCTGTCCCTTAAAATATGCATTTTTTGTCATAGTAGAAAATATGTCTAGTGCTGCCTTTAGGGTTTAAATATTATTGGACAAAACCTCACGTTTGATTCTCTGATAGGCAGGTATTTCTGGCTTCTAGAGGACAGAATGCCCAATGGAGACTTCAGAAATGAGCAGACAAATAACAGCCCAGCTGTCAGCTGGCTGCACATAATTCCACATAATTCTTTTTCTACACACTTTGGACTCCTAGGATCTGTAGGCCACAACTGGGGCCACAGTTACAAGTAAAGCAATTTCATTCAGTATGTGCTCTACAAATTCGCACTGGGCACCTGCTACATGCAGAACGCAGCTTTTCCTTCTCAGCTCCAAGCTCCTAATTTCTCTGGGGAGAGTAGGCACATAAATAAGCAACTACAAAACACAACAGTAGGATATGTGACCTCAAGTGGTAATTCAATAAATACCTTAGAGCTGTATGGAGGTGGCAGAGATAATGAAGTCTTGGTATGGCAGGGGGACTTATGGAGGCACCTCAAGAGGTGTGCTTAGCTGGATTTGGGACAAGTCTGCTGGGCATCCATCTTGAAAGGTAGGAAGCATTCAGAGCTTTCCTCCCTTCCTCATGTCATGATTAGATCTGACTCCATCTGGGAAGCTTGATGGCTCAGTTTTCATGAAGGCTTCTTTGAGTGTCCTTTTATAATCGTAAACCTTATTTTATTTTATTTTATTTTATTTAAAGATTGTATTTATTTATTCATGAGACACACACACACACAGAGAGACAGAGAGAGACAGAGAGAGACAGAGACAGAGACAGAGAGAGAGAGGCAGAGACACAGGCAGAGGGAGAAGCAGGCTCCATGCAGGGAGCCTGACGTGGGACTCGATCCCAGGACCCAGGATCACGCCCTGGGCTGAAGGCAGGCACTAAGCCGCTGAGCCAACCAGGAATCCCCATAATTGTAAACTTTAAAACACCTTTCTCCACATTGTCTTGCTAGAAACCTAGGCTTTCTAGTAGTTTCTTCTGGAGATGCCACTCAAGGAGTTCAGTGTCTGGAGGTTGGATATTAGGGTACCTCAGGTCAGTTACTACATATATGAACAGAAGCGATAAACTTCAGAAAGAAACACCTCCAGAATCTCTTCCTTCTGCCTCTTTTGGATAGTGGGCAGGTGGTATAGAAGTCAGGAGAGAGTGAATTAGGAAGGGACTTGGAGCAGATATTTTAGTAGAGGTGAGCAATAAGCTATACATCTTTGGGCAAGTTTCCTCAGTTGAGTTGGTTGGTGGCTATAAAGCCTATCATCCAGCTGTTGTCTTAGAGCACCAAAAAGACAAAGACAACCCTCAAGATGCTATGAATCAAGCACCATCTGTCTTCTTTAGGTTATTCCAAGGGAGGTCCACTGAACCATAGACCTGATGACCTTCTATCCTTGGCGTGGTCTCCTGAAAAGAACCCTGAGAAGTCTTGATTTCCCTCCTGGATCTGCCTCTTTCATGCTGCCTGATGCCAGTGAAGCACTGGTTTCCTCTGTAGTCATGGAATGCAGAATCAGAGCCAACAGAGGTGAACTGTATAAACACTATTGTCCTTTCCTATTTGATGAAGGCCTAGACCTGGGCGGTCATGGCCACAATGTCTTTGAGTGCTTGCATTGATTGTAGGATTGTAGGATGGCTTATCGTATCATTTCCCAGAGGTGAAATCTTTCCTAGCCATGCCTTTCATTTCCAGCACCATCCAGGCTTCTGCTCTCACTGTAGCTGTGCATTCTCAAGCTTCACAGGAATGCGAGGAGACTGCACAGAGGAGAATATGCTAATTACATTGTCCCCTTTTAATATTATCTCAAATGCAAGATTTTAATTTGCTTTTAACTCAGAATAAGCATTCAATCTTAAATAAACGTAACTGAACACCCACACCCATGCCCAAATTGGTAATACAATCATTCAGAATCTAATGTGACTGAGGCTTAAGGGAAACTGCATCAGGATATCGGTGCTATAGTTCCAAATGGTTTGCAGAAAGTCATATTTTATCTTTATTGAAAAAATTACAATTTGAGAGCCCATTTCAGTTTACTCTGCTGTTTTTTGAGTATAGGAGCATTTCAGTGACAAAAGAAAGTATTACCAACATAAAGCCATAGAGAATACAAAATATTGGCCCTAAAAAATGTATGTATTTTCATTTGTTCAAAATAGAGCCATTTATAAATCTCTATTTTTTTAACCTTCCTTCTTTCTTTGACAATCCTCACTTCTAGAGCTTATAAGATATGCTTCTTTCTTATGTACCCCAAGTCTTGGATAGCTTGTCCACTTGTCCATGGATGGATGCATATTTCCTGTTCTGCTGACCATTCATAGCTTGGATTCCATTAACATACATTTATATATTTATTTGTAACCACTCTGAACAATTATTGCTTATTCAGTTATGACTTATCATTGAGCAAATGCTGCAAGCCTTAGGAAAGTGCATTCAATAAATATTTATTGACTACACTGTGCTCAAGAGACCAGAAGGCAGTCAATGAAATATCTTTCTGGTTTACGCATTAATCATCAGGCTGCCAGAGACAGGGATCTGTGTGGGATGTGGATTATGTTCTCCACTTCAGGTTGTCCCAGTCCCATAGAGGGCAGGCAACTCTGATTTGAATTGTATGTGGCCTCCCAGCTGAAACACCTGAGGTGCTATCTTCCTTTTGCATGATCATGCTTTATAAAAAGAACCCTCCATAAAGCCTCTGAAATCTGGCAAAATATAAAAATGCACATTTTTTTTAAAGACAGAGTGAAACAATAGTATTGTGAAGAAGAATTCCAATCTTCTGACAAGCCCCAGTGTCCTCAGAATGTCCTCCTACCAGCCTGAAATCACCTGGAAGAGAGGATGTGTTTCTTCTACCAAGAGATCTGACTTCCGAGGCCCTGCCTCCGGTTCCAGTCCCCACCCTCCCTTATCCCTACTCACTTCCTCCCAGGATGGTTTCTGTCAAGGGGCTACATCTTGTTGGGTTCAAATGATTAGGAATAGTGACAGCTGAGAGCATGGCTGCTCTAGCCCAGTTCAAAGGTTGGTGAACTTTTTCTGTAAAGGGCCAGATGGTAAATATTCTAAGTTTTGCGGCCCACACAGTTTCTGTCATAACTATTCAACACTTGCCTTGGTAGTATGGAACTGCAGACAAGGCAACTACAGTGTGACTGTGTGCCAATAAGACAATTTACCAAACTGGTGGGGGCTGGGCTTGGCCCGGGACCGTAGTTTGTTGATCCTTGGTCTATTTGATAGGAAATGAAGAGTAGGAGGAATTAGAACCATTGGAGAACATGGTGTACTCTTCAGAAACACTCTTTACCTTTGGCAGACTAAGGACTCTAAGATGAAAGTGCACTGGGTGGAAATATCTTGTAGCCCACAAGGAGTTAGGAGTTAATAAAGTGTTAAGGAGCCATTCATGACCCCAGAATCTAGCCCCTTGTCTGAGTACAGTGGTCACTAACCCATGATGTTTTTACTGCTTAATCTCCTTCTGGCTTGCTCCTACTATTTTCATGGCTTGGCCCATTTATCATGTTCTGTGACTGGGCTTAGGTGCCCTGCC